AGCATGCTAGCAGCACATAAAAAAGCATACTAGCAGCACATAAAAAGCATACTTTGGCACACTTTTTCCATGCCATTGGCACAATTTAAGTGTGCTTTTTCTAAAAGTATGCTTTTCCGGGACAGTGCATGTCATGCATTATACAGGCATGCAAGAATTGAGTCAGAGACATGATTGACATCTATGTATACGGGCATGTCGCGTGACAGCTAAAGACGCTAATTCTGTTTGTACTTCAAGCGACGGACAAGATGCATTTTGTTCTCTTATTTTTCTGTTCACCATTTTGTATTAGCAGCGTAATATAACAGTTACATAAACATTACAGTTTATTTGTATCTATACTTATACTTGGCTATTTTTCAAAGATTTCGATTTGACATTATACTTTTCCCTCACGTGTGAGAACTGCCGAGATAGAGTCGTATATGGCTGTGTCTTTGTCAGTATGGTGCTGAAGTAGTTAAATACTAAATAAAAAATGAAAACTGGAAGTAAAATTCACTAAGTAACTGCTTTTTATTTTGGAGTATCCATGCCGGTTCAATTGTTATTGTGCAGACATCTAGTTAGGGAAAAAATATCTCTTCTATAATTTTTTTTGTCGCTGTGTATCATCAGATGATAAAGACCTCTACAGCATCAACTGTAAAAGAAATATACTGAACATCTAAGAATACACGAACGGAAGGCTTTTTCGCCAATGACCGTTAGATCAAATAAATAATCTACGTGATTCGCAGTATCCATCTCGGACATGCAAGATTAATGCATTTCGCTTGATTCACATACATCTGTATATGCATACGGCTTGGAAGCTGCATGTCTGAACATGTATGCGACGTACCTGTGTTCGTGCATGTACGTATCAAGAAATTGGCCTTGGGCAGTAGAAAAATGGAGACGTACATAATATTAGTCATATAATATGATGACTTTTAGAAAGATGATTTCAGTTAATAAGCACTCATCGTCATGTGAAAACGCGCCTCCTAACCTTTGATTAAGAAATGTAGGAGTATATTAGAAAATCGGAAGATGAAAACTCTCTCCTAGCCCCTCATCCTGTGTTCATGAACCAAAATTATTTTTTTTTTAACGATCGTCGGTTTGTGCTTACCGAATTAGTAGCGCTCTTCAATCGGACAGGACGAGGATTTAGACTCAAATTGTTCGTATCCTTCTTTTCTTTCATTCATGTCCTCTACTATGCTGAGACTATATGTTACTCTGGCAGCGGTTGTTATTTTTGCTTCCCGAACTATTTCATTTTTCATTTATTTAGAAAATGAAGCCATAGTCACATAAACATTTAGAAAAATATGCAATTAATGTATGTCGACATACAATTGTCAATAATCGCTATGCTATCTATTATGTGAATTAAATTTCATTCTCTATGATTATTTGAAAAGGAAATAATTCCTTTGTCTAACTGATGGACTTTCAGAACACCAGTAATCAGCATGATAAATCAAACTATCAGAAGCAAATCCGTACAAAATCATCATCAGTTTCGTCGTTATTACTTAAGAAAAAATTCATGATACATTATGAAAAATTGTTTGGTTATATGAATATAGTTTTTCGTTTTATTGTTGAATGATGTTTTATTAGATGGAAATGATGTAACGCACGAATTATTTGCCGATATTGCTCTTGTAACTAAAACTATAATACTACATGATTGAATTCGATACAGAAATATTTGAAAATAGAAATAATTCCCTCGTCGGTGTTGTTGACTGATAATGTTAATATTCAATCATATATCATGTCCTATGATGGATGTTTGCCTAAAATTTATTAAACTCATGCAATTATCAATTAAAAGTATCGTGAATAAAACCAATTCAATATTTCACATATGTCAATGATTAAACAGTAATTAAGAAAATATAACTTTATTCATTTGTATCAAAATATTAGATTTGCTATGGAAACGATGAGTGTACTGATATAGCTGCGATTACTTGTGTTTTGTTTTTCTCAGATACATCAGAATTCTTTTGGTAATACATTTTTTTTGTTATAGTATTCAACTCATCCAGATATGACAGATAAAATGTATGCCTTTTATAGATTTTTGTAAGCATATACTAGAATTACTAAGTAGGATGAAAAACTTAATACTTTAGCCCTGCTAGTAAATTGAAAGATAACAAATGGATGCAAAATATGATGTTCTCTTCGCAATCATTAACTTTTCCCTCATATCATCAAATCGAAAAATTTTAAAAGATTGTTGGATCAAAACCGATTGCAGATGCGTCTTCTCCATAGTCGATTATCTTGTACGCGATAACTTTTGAATCGAGGTACTTCAAAAAAAAGTTTCGACATCGTTTTGCTTTTGGTCTCATACAGCGACTTTTTCGAAGATTTTTTAGCAAGACCAAGAGCAAATTTTTTTCTGAAGTACTCCGATTCAAAAGCTAGCGCGTATAAAATAATCGACTATGGAGAAGGCGAATCTGCAATCGGTTTTGACCGAACAATCTTTAAACATTTTTCGATTTGTTGATATGATACTTCATAGTTTAACAAAAATTTGTCTTTTCACGCATGGATATTTTTTATAGATAATTCTAATAAATCATAAAAGTGCATGTATGCTAGATAACTGCTCTTTACATCTGAATGAATTAAAGTATGTGTTGAGAAAGCTAAGTTTTACGAAAGATCTTGCAAGAAGTACTGACGTAGATTTGATTAAGAGTCCTGGATGTGAACGTCGATTTTCTATAGACATGATCGGATAGCACAAAGTGTTTACTTTTAAATGTGATAAGTTTTAAACACTTCTGAGATAGTTTCTAAGTAAAGATCCTTGTAAAACAACATTTTCAAATATTAGTTTTTTCCGACTATTCATGCGATTAATTTTTTCTGAACGCCTAGGTTTGTAGAGTAAACGTTTCGGATCAAAATGACATAGCACAACTCTATGCCATCTTCCATTAAAATGTTATAAGCATTTGACTACAAATTCTAAAATGCGCTTACAGATACTTAACGCTTTGTCTTAGAATTGTTTTTTTTATTCTAGGCTGTTCCTGTTTCGAAAATTCTTCCTTGAAGTAGATGATGGAGAGCTCGAGTTTATTCCACAATGGCATGCAGTTGACATATGCAGCTAGCAGCTGATAGAGTACAATTTTTGAATTTTGCTTCGATTATTAAAAAAGAGAAGAATTTTCCTAAACATAACAGAGAGTTTCGAGAATTTTCAACTTATAATGCATTTAAAAATCCGTTGATGCGGTCAGTGGTGATTGAAAATTTGATGGAAGTCCGACTTATGGTTACCGAGATAGATTACTAGCAGGGATGCTTAACCCATATGTTTTCAAACCATGCCTGTTTTGTGCTCTTTCCTTCCCATTAATATTGAAAGAAACCTTCGAGACCGCTGTTTTTTATTTATGAAAATGAATGGCTTTAGCAATCAATCCCTTGAATACACACGCGTTTTCTACGTACAAATGTCATTTTTTGTGAAATTATTTCACTTGATTGTGATGAAATGTATTTATGTGTAGCGACTTTAAAATAGGAAAAATCTTGTTTTTTTGTAGAATGATGTTCTGAAATGAAGTATTAATTATAATTGCATAACTATGGCCTCTGCAGCAACATCATCAAAAGAATATGTTGATTTGAAAGCGGAAATTCGTGCACTGTTAATTAGTGCCAAAGATGGCTTAACTGAGGATCAATTAATGAATGATTATCGGTCATTCAATTCGAATAAGTCAATACCATATGCAAAATTTGGATTTCATAATTTAGTAGAATTGTTAAAATCAATGGAAGATGCGTGTCGAATTCAATATAGAGGACAAATGGCTGTGATAGTTGGTATTGCTAATGAGCAAACACATCAAATTTTTAGCTTAGTCAAAGGACAGCGACGAAGTAAAAAACGAAGAGGTAGAGGTGGTGGATATGGAGGACGCGGTGGAGCTCAGCGCAGTTATCAAAGTAAGCACTAATTTTTGCGAAGCGATAAAAAGATGTAATGGTTTTGTTTTAGGTTATGGAATGAGAGAAACGAATCGTGGTGGTGCTAATCGTAGGGGTGGAAATTATAATCGAGGAGGAGGTCGTGGATCGGCCAACAGCAGTGGACGATTTATTCTGTCTGATTATTCAAACAAAAATAATTATAATAGTAACAATTATAGTGATAATAAAACTGCTCCACGTTTTCAAACCACTACCACGACATCAAAACCTAGCAATGAGTTTTCCTTTCAGAAATCGAATAATCACTCATCAACTCCATTGACGACATCAACAAAACAAAATGTAAGACAATTTTAATATCACTTCTGTACTTGAGAAATGAAATCTGCACTGTAATTTACTTGTATACAAAAACTATCGCTAGAAAAATTCGACTAACATACGTTGACTTTCTTAGACGAAAAAAAAGTTTTTAATTGAAAACTGGTTGTATCTTAGGTTATCGTACCACCACGTTTTGCCAAACAGTATGAAGATAATCAAAAATCAACATCACATTCTCTGATGCAACCGTTAATGGGTGCACCAACAACGAGTTCAGTAATACCTACAAATTATTTTGATGATCGGCGTGTTGAAAATAAATCAGAATCATTACGTATAACAGTTCTTAATAATAAAAATTCTACTGAATTATCACAACAATCTAGTCGTATGTATTTCTTTTATTGTCTTTTTGACTTGATTGTTTAACCTGTCACTCTATCGTTGTTGTTAAGCTGCTGGAACTGATGTGATTGACGAAGACTTAGAAGAGGAATATTTTGATGATGATGAAGAAGAAACTGTTGCTAACATTCGTTCAGTAAGTGAACTTTGGCTTCGGCTTTTGTAAATGAAACTTGAATTTTTAATTTTAGCTACTATCGGAACATCCTTATGGCATTCGTCTCCGTAGTCTAAACGATGTTTACAAAGTAAGTGTAGAGAAAGAATGGTCTTGAATTTACGATGAAAATGACGTTCTTTTCCCCTTTTAAATTGCCAAATTTTATTTAAACGATGTATATTTTCGTCATTTGTCATTCCATTTAAAAATAAAGAAGAAAAACGTTATTTTCATTATACATCTTTTAAGAATACTCTCTAATTCTCAATACTCTCATTATTTTTTATATTTTTCTATTAGAAAAAATTTGGCAAAGATTTATTCGAGGAAATGAAACTATCAAACATATTACAAATACAAGAATATGTCGATCATTTTGCAACATTATCACGTGAAGATGAACAAAATGGTTCATGTGATTTAATTCTAGCATTAAAAAATTCTGAACAACAAATAATACGTCAAATCTCTTCGGTACTTAAATCCGAAGAAAAGTAAAGTCAGTCTAAGCAACGAACGAACAGTCATTCTGTTTAATACTTAGAGGAATTCTTTCAAAGCAGTGTTTTTCGTAGTTACTTTATCACGAAATGCTGCTGACTCGTGTTCTCCATAACTCGCCTTCCACCAGTAATGGTTTCACACGTACTTTGTAGTCGAAAATCATCTTATGGAATGTTTTTAAAAAAAGTTCATTTCAGACTGACTTTCTGTTGAGAATACTTTACTATTTTGGAGGAGACTTTAATCACTTGTTATAAATATCTACTGTGCTCTGTTTGTTGTTTAGAACACTGCAACACAACAATTATCAGCCGATATTAGGGAGTTGACATCATCAGCAAAACGTGTCTCAAAACATTTTCGATATCAACAAGTTCCACTATCAATTTGTAAAAATCAAGTATTTCAAGGTTTTGTACCTGAAGTTGATACAAAAGACCATATATTGTACATACAACCTGTTGTATACGATGTTGACTTTGAGCGATTAATGAAACAGATAAAGTAAGTTTCTAAAATGTGAAGCAATTTCATGCTTCACTTCTTTGTTGACTTTAGTGCTTATTATTCAAATCCAGCTTCAGATTATTTAATTGTAAATAATCTTGAAACTGATGTAGCATATGTGACAATTTATTCTGAATTATATTGTCGTGTTCTGATTCGTGAACTTGACCCTAATAAATGTGTTGTTTCGTATGTTGATTATGGATTTGAAGAGGAAATAGGCAACCAACAATTTAAATATTTATTAGATTGCTTCGCCGATTTACCAGCAATAGCTATGCAATGTCGCTTGTATAATATTCGTTTATCAGCCACAGATAAGAGTTCACCAACAATCCGACAACAATTAATTAATTTATGTGAAAATGGACCATTTTATATCAAACCAAAATGCTATCTTTATGGAAATCTTTGCGTTGAAATCTATGATGCTGATAATACGTGTTTAAACGATATCATTATTCAACACAATATCGGCGTAAAACAAGTCGACGAGAAAAATAAATTTGTGAGTGAAATGTCTGCTGTCATCTTTCTGAATTATTTCTGCTACTTTTATCTTTTCAGTATAAACCATTACCACAGCAAGTATCAATTAATGAACCGTAAGATATTATGTGTAAAAAGGAGCGGGGATGAGCTTCTGGATTTCTCGTAATGAAAATCGATATTTTTTTATCAAAAACATGTTAGAGTGACGCCAGTACTAGTTTATCAAAAGTTGACCATCGATTTCTTAACGCATATTGTACCCTTTAAGGATTTTAAGAATTTTTTTAATACCCGAGACTACATGTATTCGGCTATCCTGATCACAAATATGACGTTTATAACCAAAAATGTTGTTTTTCACTAAAATTCACCAATCAGAATCGAATCCGATGTATACAATTGTATACGAGAAGTGCTGATATGTTTGTTAAGCCTGATAACATGTCTGTTTACTAAAATAAATCATTTGACTTAATGGCTGATATCTACTCTAAAATTAAACTTTATCCTAAACTGATACATAAGACTTTGCGTTTGAATGCAGGGATAAGAAAGATCGATAATAAAAAACTATACTAAAAAGAGACTTATCCGCACTCTTTCTTTCGTATACCATTTTAAAAAATCTCGTTTTTCTACTAGTCGATCAGCATCTTCACTTGCGCAACCACAATTAGAACCCCTCATAGTGCAGCCAATAAATGAGTGTGCCCTTCATTGTCCGTTGCCAGATTCAGATAATGAAGAGTCTAATGAACCGTCTCCCCTGCCAAAAACATCAGATCAAACAAACAATTTCAAAGATTGTACATTAGCTCATTCAATAATACCATCAAAACAATGTGATAATCAGTCAACACCGCCGATAGTATATTCGTTTAAAAAAATAAAACTTGATCATTCTCGTTATTTTTATCTTATACGTTATCAAAATAATAAACCATTTTTGCCATGTTTCGATTTGGCACGTTTGTTGCATTTAAATGAAAGTAATATTATTGCCGAAACGGTAAGAAAATGAAATATGATCAATAAAAAGATTAATTATTTACTTTTTAGTTATTATCACGTGTACGTTTATTACGTAATTATCTTTCACATGACATATTTGACTATTTTATAAATAATATTCCAAATCACAAATGTGTTCATTTACCTGAAGGAACTATTTTTCTATTTGATATTCAATCAACAATCAAATATATTGAAAAAATACAAAATAATCAAGAGTTTGATGAATTAATATCAGCATTACGACAACAATTTCATAATTCAGTGAATGATGATTATTGGTATTCAAATGAAGATACTTATCATCATATAGATACAGTTCGTCAAAAGTTAAAAACTTTGTATGAAAAACAAAACGTATTAGCAGAACGTCGGTACGTAATCTAAATTTGAGAAATGAAAAAAGTTTCATACAGTTTACGGTACTTTTATTTTAAGCAGAAAAAAACTATTAGAATTAAATACTTCTGGTTATGATATTCCAAAATGTGCTGATGCTTTAAAAAGGATCGAAATCGATTTAGCTGATACCATGAAACAAATTACATTGTTAAGTGAAGAAAATAATTATGGTAGACAAAGTGTATCTTCCCAGAACCAAATTATCACAGCACCGCCTGGCTTTAATCAGAATATGCCAAAATCACTTAATAGTGGTACGTAAATTTATTTGATAACGAGTCTTTATCAATGATATCCTTCTATTGGTTACTTACATTGAAAATTTTACTCGAATGTCATCTGATATTACTTGCATGCATCTTTTTTTCATGAGCTCTATTTGTCTTATAAGATTATAACAAGAAAATTAGGTTGTTTACTAACTATCTGGCGTGATTTCATCCGTTGTTGTGTTCAGAAAATTTTTTACCATATTCAGTTCTTTTTTCGTTCTTTCCTGTTTTATAGTTTATTTGTTCTAGATTATTATCAACCATTATCATCCACTGAAAAAGTTGACAAAATTCGTCGTATGATGCAACGATGTCGAGCACTGATTAATACTGTTATTGTTATGGAAGATTATGTACATATTGATGAAACAGTAGCAGCTGCCATTGTACGACAGTTACCATTTTTGAATGTAGTTCCACATGACGATACCTACGATGAACTGATTAGACAGTATACAGAATTTATGGAACAAGTTGCTCCACAAATTGAACAGTTGATATCAAATTTTCCAATCAGTATTAAAATATCTTGAGAATTATTTATATCGGTGCTATTTCAGATACAAATCAAGCTTCTTATTTAAAAATTGTTATACTCTTGATTTCTTTTTTTTTCGCTTTTTTTTCAACTATTGTGATTAAGCACATTCATTTTTGTTCTTATGTTGTTCATATGTTTTTTTGGACTATTTAGGAAAATAAAATAACATTTTTTCTTCTCTTTTTCATACTTTTTTTACAATAGCTATTTGTTTTTATCATCCTACAAAGAATGTTGAAAGATAAACTGATTATTTTTCTGCTTTAATGTGTATCTCTTTGCATAGAAATCAGATATATTCGCGATTCTTTTTCTGAATTAATTTATTACATATATTTACGTCTAAGAAAACCTACAATCCAGTGCATGTGACCTCGTTCATCCACGGTTTAGATTAGGTCAGAGGATTCACAGTAGACCATATGATATGGTCTTTTTTATTTTCAACATGAGAAATCAGTTTCTTTTTGAACTAATTCTAATTAATAATCTCGATCGAGGGCCACACATTAACTCAATTCTGTCGTCTCTAGACCGAGTTATAGGTTGTATTAAATTACTGAGCCGAATTCTTTCTCGTCAGGTCTTAAATCTTAAGTCTAGTGTGTAATGAATTTATTTTAGATAGGAATAGTGTAATATATTGTAGAGCTACAGATGGAAACTTACAATGGCTTAATTCTCTTCAATATAGTGCGGAATGGGCTGTTTCTGAAGCGATGAGAGGTACTTTGTCTGACAAAATTTGTACTCAGTTAAGATGGACATCTTTTTTCATCAAAAAACCAAGAGAGAACATATTTCCACCAGTTTAAATAAAAGTATCTTTTTGATATACACAGGCTGTGCTTTTTTTCTGAAATCCAAAGAGGAAAATTTGACATGGATGATCTTTTGACGCAGCGAACATAACATACACGTTTTCTAATGAGGAAAACTATCCAAGTGATACCTTCCGATTTCGTTCGTTCATACGTTGATCGATAGAGGGTATCGAGCTAGTAAAAAGCATAAAAGGATTTTCCTCCATAACTCTTGATGTCCCGGTTTTCTGTAAAACCAGTTGTTCAGAAACTCTAAAAAGTAATCAAAACTTTTCTTAATGAGACATAATTGTAGCCCGCAAATTTCTGATTAAAATGAGACATCTTCCAGCTCTACACGACCTTTCTTTGCAAAGTTATAGAATTTACAAGAAGAGCCCTAAATTAATTTCTTCTGAT